TTAAGAAAAAAAAAAAAATGTGATTTGCCACACCCTGCTTATTCACCAAGATTACTTACCACCCTAAAGAATACTATTTTATTTAGTAACAGAAATAAATCCAAACTAAAGATTTGTAGCTATCAGTTAACACAGTAAGTGCATCTCAAATGAAAGCAGAAACAAGGGTGTAACCACACAGGACATGCTGCCAGTGCTGGCACTCTCAGGATGTCCCAAACTTGTACCTCTTGCTTTTCTAATACAGAGCAAGTAAGTAAGTGACCATAAAGATTAGAGGTACCAGCAGAGGATCTCCATTACCACTAAAGCTTTTCCCCTACCAATCAACTGTTATTTTAACATCACCTATGAATTTTGGATTTGAGTTCTACCTTAAAGCACCCATAGTCCGCATGCCTACGCTGCTACACAATTCCAGCCCCACACAGCCTTGAGCCAGCAGTGATCCTCAGTCAAAAAGTGCCACTGGAATTCAGGATTGGGGATAAGCAGAATAAGTAACCTCCATTGTAAGAGGATACAACAGAACACTCTTGTACCATCTGATATTACAATGTTTGTTTACAGAAGTATTAAAGGGAGGTGAAATTTCAGTATCTGAAAGACAAATATTCTAGGAAATAATACTTAGAGTGGACCCTGTCCATTCGAGCAGATAATCAGACTGAATAATTTACAGCCACACTTTCATCTCCACTGCAGCTGAGAAGAGCCGCATCGTAAGGAGCTTGGGGAGATGCCGACACATCTGCTCACCAAGTGGAATAAATCGGGAGGGCTCCAAGCAACAGTGGTCCAGTAACCTGTTTTACTTAGGTGACAAGTGGGACAGGATGCAGTGGGAGGCACAAGGAATGCAAAAAAAATCAACTTGCTTATGGTGAGGTCAGTATTTCATGCTTTTGCAATACTGCACATTCTCTCTCAGAGAAAACAAGCACTGTGCTGGGTTTTCACCTCTAAATTGTCACAGGTTCTTCCTAAAGGTATCTCAGGGTCGAGGAAGGGTGCCTGCTCCCACTGACCTGGCATGCTTACATGCAAGTCTTCCTGCCATGCTGTGAGGACACAGAAGCTGCAAATAACATCATGGCAGCATCCATTCATCCAGATTGCTCCAGTAACAGTAAGCACCACGTAACAAGCAGCTAACAAAGCAAACATGCCTCAAATAATCGAAAATTGAAATTACAGCAAGTCCCATCATACAGCTGGGAATCAAGCATCATTTGATACTTTTTCCAGTGATGTGTACAAGATTGAATTAACAGACTAAACACTAATTTTGTACAGATGTTGCTCAGGTGGAAGGATGGTGCAAGTTTCATCAAGGGAAAGCCTTGTAAAAAGTTGATGAGCATCTGGAAGAATAACACTGACATACAGAAAACTGTCGTTACAAAGCAGACAGACGGGGGAAAAAAAATGTATCTTTGAACAGATTAAAGAAATCTATGTGTACAGCTAGCAACTGCCAAAAAAGACATGCATACAGTCTGGTATAACTCTCATGAAACACAAGGAGCCACAGCACCTTGCAGTAGTGTCAGGGGACAGCTACAAGCAATCTCCTCCTATCATACAGCCATGACAGGTTTTGCTTATTCACATCTACAGGGTTTTTGGTTAGCATCACAGCCTGTGTTTATTACTTGAAAATAGGAAGAAGCAGATAGACATAGGTATGATTCAATGTAGCACAATGAGAAGGGTTGCCATGTAACTAGATCATGAGCAGGGTAAAAATTGCAATAATTTAGAGCCAAGATCCTCCTCCCAGCCACACTTTGACCACTAAAGTAGCACCAGGACCATCAGTTGCAAAGCTTAAGAGTCATTCTGAAGTTAGCTTTGTTTACCCAGGTCCCAACCACAAACGGGAAATTCCTAAATACAAACCAAATGAAAGCTATTAATGATAGATAGTTCACCTATTACCTGCCTTGCCTATTACTTACAACATGCCTTGGTTGCATAGCACTGTGTTTACTTGCTTTAAAGATTTTCCAAAATGCTTCAAGCATTCTACTAAGCAATACAAAGCATTTCTGTATGTATACAAGTTTTACCACCTGACATAGTAAGCAGCCTGCACCAGAAATTTAAGAAATTCCTTCACAAGTCCTGAACTACACATCCAGACAAGCTGAATAAGAACTAGGAATACCCTCGGCTTTGGTATACAAAACTCCCTTTTCTTCGCAGTCCAATGTAACTGCAGATTAGCTTTACAATACATGTAAGGTAAATCAAAACCAACTATGCATGTCTACAGTGTGTCTGTGATCAACTAGATCAATTAGAGAATGCATTTTAGTTAGACCAGTCTAAAACGAGATGACATTAGGTATATACTGGGGAGCTGGGTTTCAGTAGCACACTCCTGCAGTTTCTGTGTAAAACTCAACACTGAAGAAGCTGAAAACACGCAGGCCAACAGCGAGCCCCTGAAGTTCAAGGAACTTGCTCCATCTCCTCTAACAGGGACTAGAGCAGTGTTTTGGGCACAGTTTGTACACAATCACACACTAACCCTGGCCTAAGGCTCCTATGAACAAAGGCAGAAAGGCTTACAGGAAAAGGAAGGAAGCAACAGGGATGGAGAAATACCTGGTCTTGATCCGTTTCCAGCACAAGCCTTTCCTAAAGCTGCATCTCACAGGAAGATACCTGCCTTCCCTCTGTCACCTCTGCACTCCTATGGGCAATGGGAGAAGAACCCACGGGCTTAAATACCCCTGCCCACACAGTCACTCCCACACAAACAGCCTGGTCCCGTCCTGAGCAACACACACACACAGGAACCCAGAGACTAAAAAAAAGCAAAACAGACTCTAAGCAGAGAGAAGAAGAGAGAGAAAGAACACCCGAAAACAAACTTTAAGAAATCCAGTTAGCACACGCACAGTCACATTCATTTAATGAACAAAAGGTGGAGGAATAGTACAGCTGCTCTCTATTTAAAGGCAGGTCAGGCAAGACAGATTCGAGTGGTTCAAAACAGTTTAGATTGCTTTGTTCTCTATGCTACAGAGACCTGCTTGCCCAAAAAATGAACATAACATTGTTCTACTTATGAAAAGTGTCTCAAGTCATTACTTTCCTTTTGTTGAGGCTTTGAAAGCATCAAAGGAGGCAGAAGCACAAGTTAAAATTCTTTTAACATTTAAAAGAGCATAAATATAATATTGTACCATTTTATTCTTCACCTTCTCTTCCTTTGCCAAATCTGTTTACACACAAACATCACAGCACATTACAGAACATCAGTATAACACAAACACTGAAAAAAGTAAATCAAAATGCTGAATTGTAACACTTTGGAGTTTTACAGCTAGCAACTCAAAGACCACATTAAAATTCTAAGTATCACAAGTCACATTCAAAGATTAGACTACAAAATTTTCTTAGTACAGATACCATTTGTTCCCACTGTCATTAATAAACTGGTGGATAGAAGGAAAAAAAATTTAAAAAAAAAAAGTCTTGTATATGCTCCAGTCTTCCATAAAACTAATGCTGGATTTTCAATAAAATTGGTAAGTTGTCTTTAAAAGTTAATAAAGAAAGTCAGTTTGGCCTACACAAGATACTTCGGTTCCTCTTAGCTAGAAAACTAGTTTTATGCTGTTGGGGAAAAAGGTTTGTGAGTGGTTTTTAAGCAATTTTGCCACTCAAAAAAATAAAGCGGGATTTACCTCTTTTGCCAGTGTATTGCTGGCACATTTTCTTCAGTTTTCCAAAGATAACCCATATATTTTAGATGATGCTAGGACCATAACCTTTAGAAATTTAGTTCTAGGACCTGCACTTTAGAGGAAAGGGCGACTGATTTAACAAAATTAGCAGGCTGAGTCAAGTAAGCAACTAAGCATCAGGTTAAACCTAAAGATTATGCCTGTCCGAGCATTGCTTCAAAGTTTTCAGTTTAGATTGCGCCTCCAAAGTGTATAAGGAAAGATTGCCCCATCACACACACAGACACTTAGTCTATTAAGTATTGCAGGTTTTGTTTTAAAGTTCTAATCAAAGAGAAGGTAGAGTTAAATCCAAAAAATTAAACATTACTTTAACTACGTCATACCTCATTTCCCAATTCTAATTAACACAAGGAAAGTAGTTAATAAGCTAACATTAATAGTGACCAGCATTATTTCCATAAGCCAACTGCCTACAAAGCAGCAGTTGCTCTTCTGCTCTATAAATATGCAAGAAAGAAGCCCAGAGCCACATTCAAAGGGGATAGTGAAATTGACATTGCAATGCAATCTAAGTGAAAATAATAAAGGTAAAGAAGTTTAAAAACAGTTCAAAATCCACATGAAGGACAATAAAGTAGGGAGTGAAGCAACACAAAGGCAAAAACTATTCAGTACATCAAAGGCAATGAACAAAAAAGATAAAGAAAGTAAAGGGCTCTACTGAGCAATTTTGTACAGATCATCACTTTAATTAAGCTATTCAAAATGCAATGAGCTTAAAACCAAATGCTGTACTAAAATAATCTAGAGAACTCAGTGGCAATAAACACATGCAAACAAGAAAATATACTCATGTCCACATACGAGAGGTAAAACAGCATTCAGGGAAGACACAGAACAAAAGGACGAGACTCCTCCAGTTTAAATCACCAGTAACAAACCAGGAACCAGTGTCTCTCTAGCACAATTATCTCCCAAAGTGGCTAGCTGACACAGGAAAACAAAGGTCTATTCTCAAGCGATGAAGAAAGTACTTCCACCAGTGCATGCCCTTATAAGCAAGAAGAATCCAGCTGTTGAAGTCCCAAACTATACAAAGACATTTATTGTCCTAATGACTGAGGACAAAGAGTTCTAACAATCAAAAATAGCATGCAGGCTGTGAAAGGCCAGGCATTTGCCCATCAGTATATTAAGTTTACCAATTTAGGAGGACTAAGGACAGAGAAATAGCAGGACTATGTGTCCAGCACCCACTGCCAAGAAAAACATGATTCTCATTTACAATTTGCTTACCTTCTATAGAAGGGGCCTGGTCCACAGCTGCATATAGCATCTCTTTCAAAGCCTGCAAGGGAGAGGGAGAGAACAAGGAATACAATTAATATTTTTAAAAAAAAAAAAATTGTTTTGATATGCCTGCTTGAAAATAAAAGCAATTAAAGCCCTTTTATCCTCCAGACTGACAAAGAAAGCTACGGTACATGATGTCAATGCTATCACACATTTCTGTTAACAAAAGAAACACAAGTTCACGTTTAATGACTGCTTTGTCTAAAGCCTGTTACCTTACTAATCTATAAAATTTATTCCAACTGTTATCTTTCAACATATTCCTTTGAAAAAAAGTTTCCCAGTTGGCAGGATGTTAAATGGTTTATATTAAAAAAAAACAACCCAACCAAAAAAAAAATAAAAAAAACCCAACAAAACAAAAACAAAGAACTGTTGCGTAACACAGGAAGGAGTTTGTCAAGGCAAATGGAGAAAATACAGCCTCAGGGATTTCTTATCACTGTTACATAGGAGTACAGAACTACATATACATTCTAAAAGCTGAAGACAACATGACGAAGGAGATTACAGAACCAAGGGTGACAGCCTTCTGCTGAGGTGGAAACTGAAGGACAGCATTAACACCAGCCAGAATTATTAACCAGGTCTTCAGGTCCTAGAGGCACCGTGCGCTGCCTCCCGCAGACCACAGCAACAAGCTGCTCACCCACATTCAGGTTGCTGGTGCGAGAAATGAGCAGTGCAGGCAGCAGGACGAGGAGGCAAGGAGGCCCTGCAGCTAAATATCAAGCACCCCTGCAAATGCCCTTCTGTTACCTGAGCCAGGAGGGAAGCACCACAGCAGAAACCTCATCGCCTGCAGCTCCTTTTCAGAGGCCTCTTTTCAGACAGTCCTTAAGATGCTGGTATTACTCCAGTCATAGACTAAAGATTACTTGGTCTTTCTCACATCACAAGTGCAAGGAAGAATCAAATAAACTGAATTTGGATCAATGACGGAGGGAATAGGTTGAACCATAACTGTGGAACCAGAAGCCATCAGGAAGGGCCCATTCCTACTGCCGAGTGCTTTGTTTCCACACACCACACAACATTTGATGAAGTTGGGCATCTCAGTGCACATACTGAACGAGAGCATGCTTCACACACAGCTGCTGCAAGAACTAGATTTTATTCCCTCACTTTCAAGCCCACAGACATCATTCAGGCCTTTTGAGTTCCTGCCTCTTCTGTCTGTTTCCCAACATATCCTATACGTCTATAATCCTACACATCTGCATTTACCATCTTGTGTGTCTGTGTCCCCCCCACTGCCCTGGTCAAAACATCACAGCCTAAATAAATTCCCTAATACCCTCAAAGAAAAATCCACAAGCTCAGCAGCTGGAAACTCAGCACTGTTGTAACATGGTAGTTACGATCCTGTTAAGTAAATATAAGGTCTAAAGGACATGTCTGCTTATCACAAGATATCCTAGGTGGCAGGCTACACGGGCAGCTCAGACATCTCTCAAAGGTCTGATTCCCGAGTCCACAGAGGTCTCAACAAAGGTCACTTGCATAATTGTTTTCCCAACTAAGCACTGCTGAATGATCCTTGCTCCAGCAGCACAGCTCTCCTCTACCCTTGGTGCTTTCTTTAAATTCCTCCCAAACACTGGCCACTTCAGTCCTTTTCCCCCCATGACTCACTGGCCAGCAGCGCGTGATCTGTCTCTGTGCATCAAGTGCTCAAAAACCCTTCCCTCTTTTTCATCCTGCTCGTCATCCTCACCTACCTGTAACTTTTTCCATGAACCACAATCACACAGCATAGGATAAACAAACCTGAAGATACAGCAAATTGGAAGTCACTATGGTAAGAACTCCATCCCTCAACCCACCCAGAGGTAGAGTCGCAGTGTGCTTCCCGTCTCTGGTTTTATCAGTCATTTTAAAAAACTAATTAAAAAGGACAAACTTGACAGTCCTGCACTAAATCTCAAAAGCTGAAGGTGTCAGTCGGCCACAGACCTCTCTCCCCATGCAGACTGACGTTATTACAATCTGGCAGCTGCAGGGCAGCAGATTTTGTTACTGCTCACCTGACCTATATAAGTAAACCAACAACCTGAAAGGGAAAGGCTCAGTGCTCCTTCGCAAAGTATTTAGTCCCCTAGGTTACAGAATTTTAGAAATTTATTGATTCCAAAAGTTATCCGACTCTGCCAACTTCAAATGTTTAAGAATTACTCTTTCTGCCCTCAAACTAGACAAAAAGGGCCGTTTCCTTACTCTAAACTGTGCTAGTGATACCACTTGCACCCACAGTAAACTTGCATAAATGTGTATCAGAGAACAAAAAAAAAAAAAAAAAAAATGAAAACACACTTTAAAATGCAACTGTCAAACCTTAACAGCAAACGAATTCAAGGACAAAAACCTTAAAACACTTGAACAAAAGAGTAGTTTTCAAACCACTTATGCTCTTCTAAACTCGTCCGCTAACACCCAGAAGGACAAATAGTGAAATAGCACAACAGATTTGTGTCAGGAGGTGGCAAGCCTGGGTGTGAACTGCCTATCATGAAGCAGGGTTTGACGAGCAGAATTGGCCACCTCCCAAAAACCGAAAGCCTGTTTCTGGAAGAAGAGACTCAGAAGGCAAGCAAGCTACCTCAGCTATCAGTTTCGTTTTCCCAACCTACTTCCTGCTGGAGGTTGTGCCTCGGAGAAATGATTTCTAAGACTGAGCAACCTGTTTCTCTTCTTAAAAACTGGAGTCTCCTTAGAAGGGAAGTCACCTGCTTGCACCCTTTACCCATCTCCTCCATGAACTTTGCACTCATAATAACTGTTCTGATTCTCCTTCTTCCCCAGATGCTGCAGTTTCAAAGCTATTAAGCACTTTTTGTTTAAAAATACCATCAGACTTCTGCATCCAGATAAATAAATTCAGGCCAGATTAACCGAAACAAAACTGCCATCTGGCAACTGTAAAACTCCACCAAGTTTCCATCAGCCAGACGTACACTTACGTTTAGAAGTCTGAGCAGATGAAGCAATCCTCCCTCTCCTCTTTCTCCTAAAAGAACTCCAGAGATGGACACAAGAGCAAAGGGAAATCTGCACCATGGTTTGTGGATAAACAGAGGACTAGCAACCCAACAATTTCACTGCATCAAAAAATGCACATTAAATACAGTGAAGCATGCTCTTAGCAAAAAAAAAAAAAAAAAAAAAAAAAAAAAAAGCATCAGCTGATCAGCTGAAATTCATCTAAGAGTTACCTTAATTCATTCAGTACTGACTATGTGAAAAAGAGAATTCTATCATCTGAGTTCTGTTTATCTTTACAGCAAAGGAACTGATGAGTAAATGAATGGTCCAAAACATAAGGTTTTAAGACAAGAAGTCCACTGAGGCAGTGCATGCTGCAGCAATCGTTTAACCAGCTGGGAGAAGGCTACTAACTTTACAGAAGAAGATATGCTGCCAGATCCCTTCAAACAAGGTGACCAAACCTTTTTGCTCCCACTGCCGGGGTGAGGGCACATCCATAGGTCACCGCTCAGTTGCACGGCGAGAACCGTGCAGCCACGGGAGCCGAGCGCCCAGGTACGTGTGCGAGTCAGGCAGCACCCCACGGGTGTGGCACGCACCCCCAAAACCACTGCTCCCCTCTGCTACGGTCTTTTCACAGAGAAGGCAGCGGGTACAGAAACTAGAAACGTTCACTTTGACAAACAGGACGTTTTCAGATCACAGCCATTGAAAGCAGGACCAAACTTTGGCATATTTAGAGTTTAACCTAATTAACAAGCATTTTCACAAATGAAGAATTTGTCAATACATGGTTTTAAACTCAGTCACACCCAGGGAGTAGCCTGATAGTGACACTCAATACTTCATCAGTAAAAATGCCCCCTTATACTGGGATTATGTTATCGCCACCGGTCCTCACATAAAGCTCTCCTGATCGTTTGCACTGACCGAGGCTTCAAGAACCACCAGCTGGGAAGGAAGTTTGCATAGTAAATATGACATATAAAATTTGCATGCCTTCATACAATCTTCAGAATGGAAATTTGGAATGGAAAGTCAAATCAAGTCAATCGAGGTTTGTGTAGGACTCCATGTTAACATCAACTCAGTCATGGCAAATGTCTTTGCGAAAAGCTGAATGAAACAGAATAGCATATGTCATCACTCTTCCTCTTTTCTACAAGCCAAATGCTCTTTCTCAGAAAGCAAACATACAATAATGGTCACTGCAGAGTTTTTGCTGAAAGAAGGTAAGAATCTAAGCTATAGCTATCAAAGTGTATCTTCTTTCCTCCTGTTTAAAGAAAGCAAATGGGTTTTTCTCTCTAAAGCTCTTCCAGTAACCAGGTATCTGCCCTTAAGTCTGGGCAGCTTCAGTACTTCCTACAAGCACAGCTACAATACTTAAACAGATTTTTGTTGGAGGGAAAGTTCACATTAATGGTAAGAATGCTGAGGACTGTAAATTGTTAAAGACCATCTGAAAGTGAAACTACACTTTTAGGTACTCAAAACAGAACAGTTTCATTCTTCTTCCTTACTTTACCAGCAACGGATTACACCCTCCTCCTAGTTTGGCTGCCGATTTCTGTGAGGCAAAGCTCCTCAGAGCCACACTCGCTGCACATCCCACCAAACCAGAGTCATGTCACCTGGTGAGGATCTCTCACGTTACCGGGGCCTTACCACACTTTGGAGCTGTCTGACCGCATGAGTCACCTGCTCTCCAATGGAAATAACTACAAATATCAGACTAGAAAAATAAGATGACTACATGTAAGCTTTAGAATACAGAATTACTTAAAAGAAAACAATTTCTATACCATCTTCTAGTTCTTTCAGCAGGATCCTGAACTCGACATGGGAAGTCCCTGGAATAATCTTTTCAGAGTTAAAAACCTACACAAGATCTCTCACTCTGAAACAGTGCTTGATTACTGATTTAATTAAGAAGAAAAGATATAATGTTTCTTCATCTGACAGTTTATAATGCCATTAAATATACAAATAATTTTTAAAAATTTTACCATGATGCGTGCTGTAAGCAGTATTGCACACAAGTAACGAAAGCGGTGCTTGGCCTTCCATTTGCTGACCAGCTCCGAATTTTACTTGACAAAGGAGGGCTGTGTGCTTTTTGCCTCGAATATAATCAACAAGTAAACCGAGGTAGCGCCGGCCTTTTATGCACCACACCCACACGACCACCAGTTACTGAATAATAAATGCCAGACTATTCCATTACTGTAATATGCATGAGCAGGAGGCTGACTCACATTCAGCCAGCTGCAACAAGGGAAACAAAGAGTTTTGAAACTTATTACTAAAAAGGAGGGTGGGGTTTTTATTTTCATTCACTCTACGTTAAGCTATCTATCCCAAGGAGGAGATGACTTCAATTCCAGAAAGAGTAACAACTTGAAGTTTTTACTGAAATCTACCTTTATTTTAAATTGGGCTGGGGGAAGGGATAAGGATATAACAATACTGCCCCAGTTAAAACATCTGAAAATTAACCTCCTACAATGAAAACCGTGGCCAATAAGCAGCAGAGTTCTTCACACATTAATCAAGGTGTCATAGTTCACTGGGTCTCCTTTACCCTCCCTCTACATCTGTCTGGTCAGCACGCAGCCAAATCTTCTGCCCTTCTGTTTCCTCCCTGCCTTCCCCTCCAACCCACCTCCAAACCCTCTCTTAGGAAGATACGCAAGCTTTCTGTTTCCAGGAACAGCAACCAACTCTTTCACGGATAACCCATCAGAGACACAATGCAGAACTAAGCTGCTACTTTATTTTATCAAGACAATGGATTTTCTCCTTCTCAAAGACTGATGCGTTAGTTGGTCATCTAGTTCTACAAATAACTCAAGGAGATGTTTTTCTGAAGTCCAATCCAACCGCATTTTTTATTTAAACATCCATTCCTTTGCAGTCAGGTAAAGGAAAACAAAGGAATGGTCAAAAAGGCAGATATAAACTTTTCAAATTCAACATTACAACAAAGCAAGCTAAGATAAATGTGGTTTTCCTTGCAAATGCAGACAGATTAATGGGGATACTATAAATAAATTGATATTATAGTCCTAGAGAGAAAATACAGGCCTTCAAATGATAACAAATACTGTGTGGTTTTGACTGTCTCTATCAGTCAAGAAGTTCTGCTGACCACGGCTGTCCTATAATCAGCTTTCCGTTGCCTAGGTTTAATTATTACTTGTAGAAAAGACCGACATCACTGGTAAGAACCACTTTTACTGCTAACGCTGAAAGAAGAAATGCTTGTACTACAAACAACCACCTTGAGCTTCATCTAGTTAAACTGAAGTCCAGCACCACTATGATAAATCTGAAACCAAGCAATCAGCGCGACCTTTAGAAAGCTGGCATAATAAAAACTGAAAAGCTGTATTCTGCAAATAATTCGTGACCGATGCAGCAGAACTTTGTGCACACAGTGTTCATAAATGTCCTGATGCAAGCGGTTCACCTGAAATCAAGTATGAAATAGCGAGATGCAAAGCCTCACCAGCCTTATTTAATAATAATAATAATACTAAAAAAAAAAAAAAAAAAAAAAGGGGGAATCGATGCCAGGTTTACTGCCCTGTGTTGAGTCACTCCGGTATGCTGTTAGCGTTACCAAAGGAGATTGTGGCCTCGGCGCTTGCAGGGGGCAGGTTTGGCCCCCGGCTGCAGGGTGGTGGGTGCTCGCCCGCCGGGCTCGCCCTTGGGAGCCGCGGAAGGAGGCTGAGAGCCGCCTCTCAAAGTCACCCTTCCTCCGCCCGCCCGCAGAACCGGCGGTGGTGCTGAAAAACGCCCGTTACCGACTGCGGGGCTGCGGCCGGGGGGTGCCCGGGGCGGGGGGGGGGGGGGATGCCCGGGAGCTGGGCACCGCACAGCCCCCCCGGCTGCGCTCCCGCTGGCTTCCCCACCTCTTCCAACCTCTGTCCCACACCGAAAGGGTGACGTTCGTTAATGAATTGCCCACCCAACGCTCTGACTCCCGAGTGGTCCCCAGTTTCGGGAGGAAGGGGGGGTGCGTGGGGGGGGGAGTGGGGTGTAAAAGCCCATACCCCTCTCCCCGCGGTGGGTGAGCACGTTGCTTTTCCACCGCCCTCCCCGCCGAGAAAACAAGCGGGAAGCCGCCGGCCGCCAGCCGCCGCCTCGCACCCCCCTCGCTCTGCGCCGCCAGCCCCCGGTAACGGGCCGGGGGGACACCGGGGCACCGAGGGGGGGGGACACGGGGGGACCGGCTTCACACACACACGCACACACACAGACCCCCCCCCCCCCCCGCCGCCACGGGGAAGCGGGGCCGAGGCGGCGGCGCGGCCCTACCTCATACTGGATGTACTGCTTCCGCCACTCCGGGGTGATGTGAGCCGCGAGGTGCTCGGCGAACTTCATCCTGCCGGGGCCGCGGCCGCGCTCGCTCTGCGCCCGCGGAGCCGCCTCAGCGGCGCCTGGCTGCGAAGGGGCCGCCGCCGCCGCCGCCGCCGCCGCCGCCGCCGGTAGTGGGGGGCGGGGGGGGGCCGCCGCCGCCGCCGCCGCACATGGGCCCCCGCCCGCCCAGCCCCGCCGCTCCTCAAGCCCGCCTCGGGCCTCCTCAGCGCCGCCCCGCCGCCGCCGCCGCCTCCTCCGCCGCCGCCGCCGCCATCTTCCCCGTCCCGCCGCCCCGCCGCCGCCTCCCGCCCGTCAGCCGGCCCGACAGCCAACCGGCCGCCGGCAAGGCGCCGTCGCCGTGGCAACCGCCGCCGCCGCCCACCGCCGCGCGGGGCGGGGCGGGGCCCGGAGGAGGAGGGGGCGGGGCTGAGGGGCGGGCGGCCCCGCCCCTGCCCGCGGGGTGAGGGGAGGGGAGGGGGGGGGGTGGCGGGGCTCCCGCAGCAGGTGGGGGGCCCCGCTTCGTTTTACTCTTTCTGCTCATTTTGGGGGGAGGAAGGGGGAGGGGGGGGGGAGGGTTGGAGCCAAACGTGTCGCCTTCGTCCCGCAGGGTCTCCAGAGCGGCCACTCCATAAGCGATGGCGGCTCTGGGACAGCCCCAGTTTGAATCCTGAACTCTTCGGTGCTGGCTGGGCTGGGGGTGGGATGGGGATAAAATGGGAATGGGTTGGGGATAGGAATGGGATGGGAAGGGATGGGGATGGGGATGGGATGGGAGGGCATGGGATGGGGATGAAATATGACGGGGATGGAATGAGGGTGGGATGGGAATGGGGTAAGATGGGGAGGGGATGGGGATGGGAATGGGATGGGGATGGGGATGAGATGGGAGGGGATGGGGAGAGGATGGGAGCAGATGGGATGTGGGTGGAATGGGAATGGGATGAAATGAAGATGGGATGAAATGAAGATGGGATGAGAATAAGATGAGGAGGGGATGGGGCTGGGAATGGGAGGGGATGGGATGGAGTTGGAATTGGATGGAGGTGGAATGAGAATGGAATGGAATGAGGATGGGATGGAAATGGGATAGGGATAAGATGGGGAGGAGACAGAGATGGGAATGAGAGGGGAAGGGATGGGAATTGAATGGGATGAGGATGGGGATAGGGATGAGATGAGGATGGGAATGGGATGGAATGGGGATGGGATGGTGATGGAATGGGGATGAGGATGGGATGGGGTGGGGATAGAGATGGGGATGGAATGGGAGGAGAGACGATGGAGAGAAGTGCGGCAGGGAGAGCAGTGTGTGAGGGGGGAAGAGGTGAGGAGGTGGGGAGGTATCAGCCAGGGAAAAGAGAGTGGGGATGGAGATGAAGGGGAAGAGTAGGAGAAAACGCAAGAAAGGTGAGTAAGAATTGAGGAGGGAGGGAAATTGGGCTGACAAGCCACAAAAAGACAGGGGGAAGGAAACAAAAGAGACAATAGTGCAAATGAAAGGGAGGAGGGAAAGAGGAAAAAAAAAAAAGGAGGGAAGGGGAAAAAAAAAAAAAAAAAAAAGGAAAATTCACAAAAGCTTTCACCCTTGCACCACTCCTGACAGTTCCGGGCTGGGTGCCATGCACAGCGCTGCGGGGCTGTGGGGAGCAGGGAAACCCAGGGCAGGTGTAAGAGCAAGCCCCCCACTGCGGGGGCACGGCTCCGCTGAAATACAGACACCCCTGGGGGCTGGAGGGTCGGGTACCTTCTGCGTTATCACGAGAGACCAAACTGGAGATGTTTGGAGCAGGGCTGCAGCCCTCAGTTATCCCCGGGTACCCTAATCTTGCCCCTCCCCGCTTCCCAGATTTGGGGAATTTGCTGCGTTTGGGATTCATTTGGGTTTCCCTTCAAGCCTCCCAACCTGCGGCGCAACTCCAGGTGATAGTTTTCCGCTTTTTCCCCGTGGACGCGCCAGGGCGGGTCCCGTCCCAGCTGCCAGCCCCTCGGCACCGCAGCATCGCTCCCGCCGACGTCTGCAGGAGCAGAGCTCGTTTGCTGCAGTGATTTATCGGGGTCCTGTCGCAGGCCCGGGGACCTCTGATTTGCGAGCGCTCTTACCCGCGCTGAGATTTACCCGGCAGCGACAGCGGCGCATGCAGCCGCGATGCTCGCTGATACCATCTCTTAATTATGTTTGCAGAAAACCGTTTAATGAATAGAGCTTTAGTGCCCTTCATCTGAAACTTCACACTCAGCAACCTGCCCGGCGCTGACCTCAGCGCGAGCTAACCGCTATGTCACAGCTTGACTTACATTTAGCAGGTTGCCAGCTTTTTAATGCATTACCTTTGCAGGCTTGTTCCAGATAAAATCGCTCAGGGTCTGAGCCTGCTCCCACCACAATCAGTGGCACTGATTTCAGCGGGAGCAGACGAGAGGTGGGTCTTTGCAGCTTCAACCCTTTGAATACCGTCAGGCTTTCAGAGATAACGTGCAGCACGGGGGAGGAGAACGGATTAAGAAATAAATATTCTCTTTATGATTTGCTGGATGCATTGCATGAAGTATGTACCATGAGGTATAATAAGCAAATACCTTTTGACACGACAGCTTGCAAATTCAGTTACTGAAAATAACTAGTGATCCCCCCCCTTCCCTTTCTAGCTTGGAGAGTTTTTTACACACTGATAAATGCTTTTTATTTATTTAATACCAATAAACACTATTTATTCTTATTAAACAAAGACAGACAATAGCAGGGGAGGCAGAGCAGAGGCTGAACTCCTTCTTACTCACCATTGCCATGTTCTCTAGCAACAACTCCATCTAAATATCTGATTGGCAAAACCCTGCCTCCTGTTATCAGACGTGCTTTGGGACTACAGTTGGCATCATGACAGTGTTTCACTGCTCTGCTGGGACTCGGGGCTTTCCAACTTCTCGAAACGTTTCAAAACTCTCAGCTCCACAGATCCAGGGGCTGGGAGAGGAAGACAGGGAGGAAGAGAGGGCAGAAGGAACCTTAAATGAAAGAGGAAGGGCCATTGCTGCCTGCCTCTGGTGCCTTCTGCCCGCAGCCGGGCTGGACGGTGGGCAGAGGGAACGCAGGCAACACATCCCAAATGAGGAGGGATGGCGATCCCAAACGATCCCGGTCTCAAGTCTGGATCCCAGTCCCCATGTTTCGGGTCTGGATCCCAGTCCCCATACCTTGCTTGCACCAGGCTGCTACATTCTCCTCATCTCTCACGCTTTTCCAGGAAAGAGTTGGCATTGTGATTTTCCCCCGTGCTGTTGTAGCTAGGAAAAAAATAAAAGAAGCAATGTTATTTGCATTTTTAAACCGAGCAAGGAGAAGTCGGGAGTGGGCTTTCCGCCAGTGCAGTCTGGCACTTGCTTTGTTGAGAGCATATAGAATAATTTATAAATAGCATGGTGTGGGTTTTTTTTTTTAAATATAATTATACTTTTAAAGATCCTGCATTCCTGCATTGCTGGGGAGAAGGAGTCTTCAAAAGAGGTTTTAGAAAAAGAGTCTTGCAGAGGGAAAATTTTCTTTAATGGCATTCATGAAATCACGAAGAGGAGGGTTTTCCATAGCAGGAGACAATGCAAGACACCCACAGACAACCATTCCTACACCTCTCTTCCCACGTCCTCCTCAGGCAGCTGACTTTTAAGATGCCTGGATATTTAGGGGCTCAGTTTGTCACGGGAGGGGATGCTTTAGCAGCACAACCCTCCCTGGCCCCATGAGCAGAGCGGGACGTGCTGAGCCTGGACCCCTGGGTGGGTCAACGTCAGGGGGAGCGGCAAAGATAAATTCATCTGCTTTCCATCGAAACCAGAAGAAATAATGCCTGAGCCTGGGGAGGGCTGGGAGCAGCAGCGTGCCCCTGGCCTTGGTGAGGTGAAGCTGCTCTCTGCCACCAGCTGCTCCGCAGAGGCGGCGGGGGCATCGTGCGGGGAAATGGCTGCTCTCTGCATCCTCCGCTGCCCTGCCCTGCCCGGGCGGTGATTCCTGCTCCCCAGGGAGGACCAGGGGCTTTGCCACCACTGCTTGGAAAGGGAGGCGGGGAATAAATAAATAAAGAAGTAAAAGCAGGTCAGGGGCGAGCTTGACGTGGAATGATGAGGGGATTTACTAAATCATGCCGGGAGATGCTGCCCTGCCTGCCAGGATCAATAGAGCAGCAGCCCTGGGCTTCAGACACCCTCAGCATTTGCCAGCCAGCCCCAAACGCTCTCATTATCTGTTTCATCAATACCAGTCTTGAGAAACACAATCAATATATTAGATTTCCCAGAGACAGTGGTGCAAAATGCACAAATCCTCCGGCAGCCTGAGCTGGAGCTATTGATTTATCACATATTCTCCCTCCCCACCCAGTACCAGCAGAGGACAAGGGTGTGCTTAAGAGCATCAGGAGCCGGCGGAGGGGTTCTCCATCCTCAGGGCAGAGGCAGAGGCAGTGCACAGGGTCAGATGGGGAGCGGCACAGCCCAATCCTCTGGGAATTGTCAGGGCGTTAATACACCCAGGCATGCTGCCTGCAGCAGGTTTTTTAAGCCAGGAGGAGCAGTGGCTTCCAGGCAATAATAATGTCCTGGATGGACCTGGTTCCAGTGGTAGGGACGTCAGTCCCAGCCCAGTATCTTCCAAGCGCTGTCCCAGCAGCCATAACTTCCCTCAGCTCTTCCGAGCGGAGTGAGATGATGCTTTCATCCCCGTTTCAGCGGGAGCCAGGATGAGACCTGCCAGGAGGGGACGTGCCTGCCTCCGCCTTGGCTGCAGGTGGGTCACTTTACCCGACGGCTGAATTTGATCCATCGGGACATGAGCCCATCACGGAGGTGGATTTAGGACTCAAGATCTCCAATAGCCAGCCCCAGGGACGGGGCAGCCCTGTGCCCAGCCGCAAGCGCTTGAGCATGTGGGTCTGTGGGCAGTAACCATGCCCTGCCTGGCTAATTTATCGCCTCCCCTGCACTCGCCGGGGCAGGATTTGGCCCATACGTTGCTCAGCAAGTGTCAGCGTGCCTGATCTTAAAAAACCCAAGGTCAGGCAACAACATACCCCTGGCTGCAAGCCCACGTATAAAGGCACGATTCCTATCGAAGCGCATAAGGATACAGAAACAGGGAGCAAAAAGCCAAAGCGGCAGCAGCTCCCCTTTGCCAGGAGCCTGCTCCGTGGGGGGAGCGGGGCT